CTTTTTATTTCTTTTACTCATTTTTCATTTTGTATTTTTATTTTATTTTTCCCTAATTTTATGAGGATGCACAATTAAAAAATAAAAGTCCTAATAGATGTCAAAGCTAAATTTATTAAATTCTAAAATTATTTAAAACCTATTTCACGGCAAATTCACAATTAAAACTATTAAAATGCAAAGTGGACTATTTTTGTGATTTTTATATTTTGTTCCAAAATAAATTAACCCCTACTTATTCCTAAAATATGAACTTATATCCTAAATGCATATTTTTGTATTTTCATATGAACTAACATGCACAAATAAAATGCAAACGACTATCAGAAAGTGACACCAAAATTCACAAAAATTGTAAAAATAAAGAAATTATTTTGTTTGAATTTTTGGGAATAATTAGCTTAGGGCAAAAATCACGTGCTCACAACAAGTATGCCTTTAGTTCCTTCAGGGCCTGGACACACTCAGAAGTTCATTGGAGGCCATTATCTTTATTAAGTATGCCAAAGAATTTGTGGCACATGTCCGATGACCGTGAGATGAACCTTGATAGGGCGGCGATATGTCTAGTCAACCGTTGAACCTGTTTTTTGGTGGTCAAGTGTTCTGGTATTCCCTCGATGGCTTTGATTTGTTCAGGATTGACCTCGATCCCTCGCTGCGATACTAGGAAACCTAAAAACTTTCCTAAGGTCATGTCGGCGTACACTTTTTTGGGTTCAGTTTTCATTTTGTACTATCTGACTATGTCGAAAGTTTCTTTTAGATGGTCAATGTGATCTTCTTTCATTTTGGACTTGACCAACATGTCGTCTATATAGACTTCCATCATTTTGCCAAGCTGGTACTTGAACATCCTTGTCACACACCTTTCTATAAGTCACCCCCACATTTTTTAGCCCGAAGGGCATGACCTTGTAGAAGTACGTCCCTTGATAGGTGATGAATGCGGTTATTTCCTGATCCTCTTTTTCCATGAGGATTTTATTATAACCTGAATAAGCGTCTAAAAAGCTTAGTAGTTCATGCTCGGTCGTTGCATCGATGAGTTGGTCGATATGGGTTAATGGGAATGAATCCTTATGGCATGCTTTGTTCAAATCTATGAAATTCAAGCACATCCGCCATTTCCCATTCTTCTATTTCACCATGACCACGGTGGTGACCCACTTGTGATACTTCGACTCCCTGATGGAGCCATTTACTAATAGTTTTTCCACCTCTTCTCATACTGCATCATTAATTGTGAAGTTGAACTTATGTTTGACCTGTCTCACTAGGAGGTGGAATGGATCGACATTTAGTTTGTGCATGGCGATTTTCTTTGGGATACCTGGCATATCTGCATGGCTGAAAGCAAACAAATTTGTGTTAACTGTTAAGAATTGACGAAATTTACTTGGTTCCTGAACTTTGCAGCCGATTTAAGCCTTCTTGTTGTGGTCATTGAGGTCCAATTGAATGTGATTGAGATCTTCTATGGTCGATCCTACAACTTCGACCATATTGGGGTCTCTGATGTCATCCCCGCTATTGTCATGTTCCGACCTTGTCCCTACTGATTACTATGCCTCTTTTTCTTTGTCCCTTTTTTGTTGGGTGGTCGTGATGTCTAGAGCGATATGGTAGCAATCCCGAAATGTGCGTTGTTCCCCTTATATACTAAATATTCCCCATGGAGTTGGGAATTTGATGACTTGATATAAGCTGGAGGGAACGGCTTTCATGGGGTGTATCCATGGTCGTCCTACTATGGCGTTGTATGCAGTATCTTGGTCCATTATGTGGAATGTGGATTCTAGAGTTACGCCACCGGTCAGAACGATGAGTGTGATTTCTCCAAATGTTCGCTTAACTGCATTGTTAAAACCAGTTAGCGTGATGCAATGTGGCAATATCTTATCTTTGAGTTTCATTTGTACAAATACTCGATGATGGATAATGCACGTTCTGCTCTCGTCATCTACCATAATACGTCTAATATTGGTATCTAAAATTCGTAAAGTAATAACGAGGGCATCATTATAAGGAAAAGTCAAACCGTCGGTATATGACTTATTGAAGATGATACTCTCTTCAAGTTCATCATACCATTCGTGGGTGATTGACCGCTTGAGCTTGTGGGTAGTGGTAAATTTCACATTGTTGATGGAGGCGGTGTCGCCACCGCCGATGATCATGTGGATAGTAAGAGCTGGTGAGGGCAGATTTGGCGGTCCTTGGTGTTGTTTGCGTCCTCTAGCAAAGTTGGTTCTCCCCCGGTCGCTCAGCAACTCTTTGAGGTGCCCTTGTCGTAATATGTTTACGACTTCCTGCATTAAGGCAATGTAATCTTCGGTTTGTGCCCTCATTCTTGGTGGAACTCACAAAGGGCATCGGACTTTTTAGTACTCGGATCTGCCCTCATCTTTTATAACCACTTTATCTTTGGTCCGAGCTTCTCCAGAGCATGGACTATCTCTATAGGTAACACACAAAAATTGTGAGCGGATAATAAATGGGGAATTCATCTTTCGTTCCGATGAGTCCCTGTCTTTGGTCTAGATGGGACTTCTTCGTAGTGGGGGAGGCCGTAGCGGCCGTTCTGACATACGATTGACGTCGTTCTGTTAGGTCGCAGAATTGCGAGATCTCTTCTAGAGTCGTTTCTTCGATCTTTTCTGGATTCGACATATATCGAGGTCAGTCGATGAGTTGGTCCATTGAGGTTGTCCTCATCTGCTCGGACCTCGGCACAATAAGTGTTGTGTATTTCATCCCAAGTGGTTGGGGGATACTTCATCAACCGATTCAATAGTTTCCTAGTTGCTCTTGAACCATCCCTACTTAGCCCGTTCTGAAAGGCCGTGACCGCCATTCCTTCGGATACGTTCAGCAAAGTCATCCTCACTCGGTTGAACCGGGCGAAGAAGTCCCTCAGCCCCTCCCCTAGGGCCTATTTAATGGAAAATATGTCGTTCACTATCGCCTAGGCCTTCTTGGCTCCGGCATGGGCCGTTACGAACTTGTCGGCCATCTCTTCGAAAGTTTCTATGGATCGTATAGGTAGTTGTGAATACCATTTTAATTCTCCTCCCCTGAGGGTTTCACGAGGTTATTTCCTTTTACGGTGGTAACGTAGTAAATCACATGATCTTCAGGGTCGGTCGTGCCGTCGTATATCCTGAGGTAGGGCGGCATTTTGAAGGTTTTTGGTATGGTATGGGAAGCTGCATCATCATTGTACGGTTACTCTATGAACCGGTCGGTGTCCCTTTTCGGTAGCAACTTAGGAGCGCCTAGTATTTTATCAACCCGCTCCTAATGTTCTTTCATCTGATCTCGGATCGTCTTGTTTTCATTCTCCATTTCTTCCATCCTTTTTAGGATAGTTGTAAGGACGTTATCACCTGCATTATCAACGACATTGTGAGTTATACCTGTCGTTGGAAAGGGTGGCTGATTGCACTGCTCATCCGTTTGTTGTATTGTAACAGTCTTTTCAGTTTCCACCGTTGAGCCCAGAGTGGGTTTGTTGGGGATGTTTGTCAGTGTGTCAGTCAACCCCGCCTCAAGGAGCTTTTTGATAGCTGGGGGTGCCCCTCCCTCCACAGATGTTGAGGCTCCTTTAGCATGAGATTTTTTTATGCTCCAATGTGGGGGTGGCGACCCATCTCGCCTAGGGTACGCACTCGGCGTCGTATCCTCACTCGTTGTGTTTCACAGCTCTCGTTGATGGTAGTTATGAGGTTGGTCGGGGAGTCACTTGTTATCCTCACCCTTTCTTCTCGATTGCCTACCATGTTAGGTGTTGCACAAGGAAAGATAAAAGATCTTGGGTTTTGTGACGTTAGTGACCGGCGTTAGTTGTAGATCTAGAGAAAACTAAAAATTTAACTAAGAAATTCCTACAAACTGTGTTGCCTTACGTACATTGTTGTTTTTGTGTTGCCTTCACTTTTTTTTCCTTCACTCGGTGTCTCATATCCGCATTGTAGTCTGATTATATCTGAATTCGTGCTGCGTAGGGCCCCATTAGAGAGAAAACGCTCCCTATCAAAGATTTTTTCATACACAAAACTCGAACCTCAGACCTCTAATTAAGGGAAAGCATTCTCATTCACTACACCACATTCTTGGTGGTTGTATTGCCTTTACTACTTTAGCAAATGGGCATTCCAAAGGCTGTGATAATTCAAAACACTTCCCTCTAAAGAACTGAATTGGATGGGCAGTCTTTAATCCCAACTGAAATTATTCTCAATAATCTTTTTTTTTTTGGAAATTAAAAGTGTAAAAAAGTTCTAAGAAAGTCAAACATCAACTTCAGAATAAAACTTTAATCCTAAATATTGGGTTAGTTCAATCAAATTTTAAAATACTAATGCTACATCCAACCTAAAATGTAGCAATATATTAGCAAAAAAAATGTAGCAATATCAAAGTCGGATTAATACTACTTCGTTGGAAAAACTAAACAGTATAATCGGTGTCAAAAATAATATCCGATAATATATATAACATATATAATTTTTATATATTGGCTAGTGGATATAGTTATTTTCATGTTTTGTGTCGATATAAGCTCGGACATGAAATTATTTTGGCTTTTTAAAATCCTTTTTCTTTTGAAATAATTGTTTTGTCATATATTTTAGTCGGTTGTTCATTCCAACTTAAAGTCTTTAAATAAAGATATTATTTCATTCACAAAACTTTAATTTTTAAGTAAAATGCATATTTTAACCAAATTTACTTTCAAATATCCTTTCTAACCTCAAATTCAAATAAAAAGATTTTTAAATTTTAACCAAATGCATGTCCAAATTAAAACGCCTAACTAGTTTAGGAAAATAAATTTTAAAGAGACTTATAAAAATTAAATACGTTTTACTTTAATGAGAAAAATGTCATGATTAGCTTACTGAAAAAATGCCACGTCATCCCTCGTACTCCCCACTCTACCTGAAAATGGAATATATGGCAAGAAGCAGTAAAAATCTCTGTCACTCTGCAAATACTCCTCTTACCACTAACGTACAACGTACGTTTCCGCCGGAGATTCTAACATTCTTTCCCGCCGTCAATGGCGAATCCCGGTCAACGGGAAGGGTACAACTTGGAGTACCGATATAAGGTTGATGACTCATGGTACAGTGTACGACTCGTGCTAAAAGGCCAAAGGTTGACTGTGAAGTACGAGGGATATCAGGTGGAAGTCGACACGATTTTCGACGCCGGAGAATTTAAGTCGAAGGAGGAAGTCGATGAACTAGTCGGGAGGTTCCGGTGTGTGTCGCCGCAGCTGCAGGATAGTGAATGTTGTACTCTCAAGGAAGGTATGATTGTCTCTGTTGCCTGTGATGCTTTCGGTGAGGATGACATGCTGTTCTACGACGCTGTTATTGAAGCGGTGAGTTATGCACCTCAGTACTTGCTTATTTCCTCTGTATAATTTCCTCTGTTTTATGTTAGTTTAAGATAAGTTTGTATCTCCAGTGCGCGAAATCTATGGCGACAATCCTTTTTTTTATTTTTATTTTTATTTTTATTTTTATTTTTTTTTAGCATTTTTTCCGTGAAAAGTTTGCCGATCTTTCTGTCCAAATGGAGCTGCGTAATATCTATTTTATGTGAAGATATGAACTCACTTTACGATTTAGTCCAATAAAAATTTTCTTTGCTTAAAATGAAATTCAAAATCTGTTAGCAAAAGCCAAAAGCCTTGCTATTACTTTACGTAATATGCTTTTACCCGAAGTTCTTTAGCCTTTCAGAGATCTATATCGTCAGTAGAAAAATATAAAGAAGTTCTAATTCCTCCATTTCATTTTATTTGAACCTTCTCGGAGAGCGATGATCAAATGGACTAATTTTCGGGGTGAATTCGAACCTAGATTATTTAAGTTTTTTGAAATAAACTTTAGATATTTAGAAACTAAATTAAAAAAAATACGCTTGAAATAGTAAAAGATTAATTCTTTTTGAAACAGATCTGAAATGTTGAAATACTCGGGATGAACCTCATAGTGAAGCTCGTGTGAGGTGAAATGTGCTTCTCCAATGAAGAACTCCACTTTAAAGAGAGAACAAATTTCATTCATTATCATAATTCAGAAACTTGTAGAGTATTAGAGAGCTGCTATATTTCAAAGAGTTACTGTTGAGAAACAATTGAATGATCCTCTTTCTAAGTGACAATTCTGAGGCTATTCTCTTGGAATAATCTTGGGTTAATTAGAGTATTCACTCTTATTTGTACTCTCTATTGCACATCTTCTGGTAAAGTAAATTTGCTCCTCCCTAATTGACTAAAATCATTGAAATACTGTGTCTTCGTTACTCTCTGTTACTGCATTTAACAACTTATGCTCTCAAATTCCTCAGTTTTCTGACCTCCATATAACACTGGAGAAATTCAAATTCGAGCTAAGCGGACTACAAGTGTTCCAAATTTCTCTATGGTTGTGTTTCTATTTCATTATAACAACTTAATAAGAGATCATATCTTGAGGCATATCCTTTTCATTCTTCTGTATTTAGATTCAATGGTGTGTTCATTCCTTTTTTATCAATAAATGAAAGCTTAAATTTTCTTTACTTACTTGAACTTTGAAAATAATTAAGAAAGCAGAAAGTCTAAGTATATATGTTATTTGACAAGTGATAGCGGAAACCACTGAATTGCTTCAAATTTGACTCTACCTCTCTTTGGTAGATACACAATGTGGACCATTCATTTCCCAATGGAGAGGAGGAGTGTTTATGCACCTTCATAATATCTTGGCTTCACGGTCCAAAGGAAGGATGCTTAACCGCTACCAGAATTGAAGGCATGTGTACCATAAAAGGTGTTGCTCAAGTTGATCCTAAAATAGCTTCCTTCTTGAAACTGGTGAACCAGAATCTTGGAAAATCCTCTTCCATGTTAACTTCTGCTTCGAAGAATGACAGTCCAGCATCTAAAGTATCATTTTGTGAAAGAACAGGCAGTAATTTGTCTATTAATTCATCCTTTGAGGCAAGTTTTACTGAATAATGTTCATAAATTGAGGTTGGGATGCGCACACCTAAGACATTAACTGCTTCCTTGTTCCATAGGGAATTAATAGTGCCAAGAGTATCGTTGGTGTGACATCAGGAGGTATGTTCTGAAACTCCATCACCTGTTATGATGCAATACTTTCACCTTTTCTTAATTTCTTCCTTATGAGCTGCAGCAACAGACAGTAAGTATAGCAGGGATTGGGAACAAGACAAAGATCTTGGAAGGCTATACCCAAGTTCCCATCTCATGCTTATTGAAAACTTGGAGAGAAACTTATTACCATCATCATTCAGGGATTTTATACATGAAAATACTTCTGTTTCATCAGAAGTATACATTTTACCAAGTCTATCTATGCCATATGCGAGAAGTATTATTGTGGTTGATTGTGAAGCGAAGCTTCAGCAGATACACCAGTTTTTGGAGAATCCGGCCCACCTTGTTGTGTCCTCAACTGGAAGGTATGCCCCATGCATTCAATTTCTTCATTGTTAATTTGTTATAGCTGACTATAATAAATGCTAACATGTCTATAAATGCATAGGAGCTATAGGTTCAGGTTGTATTGTCCCGTTTCACAATACTGATTCCATGAAGCAGTTAAGCAATTTTTGGCACTATTTGCTTTTCTTTATTTCTCAGTCTCTAAAATTGGTTTACTCCAATCCCCTGATATCTACATGGTAATGAAGCATTACGCCGTGTCGGGTGCCACTTTGGTCTCTAATGCTTTTATAAGCTAGTTCTTAGCGATTTAGGTGTTTAGGATCTCCAAGTAATCCTCTCCAAATTAAATTTGTGTCATAATTGTAGACCCTGTTGCCATTAATGCATACAATCAAGATTTTCATGCTCGTGCATCCATCTTCTAGACTGTCAGGGAGTCGCGTGTTTTTCGTTTGTCTTTCACAGGCCATTGGTTATAACTGAAAGAGATTCAAGGCAGGACATAATTAAGATGTGGTCTTGGAGCTTGGGCTACGGACCTCAGGTAAGACGTTACAACTTTATAGGTTACATGAAATCAGGCCGTAAGGCAAAAAAGGATCCACCTTTCCTGGATGTGCAGCATTTCATAAATGAGTTGAGAAACATACAAAATGTGATACAGGTTAAAAGATGTCCTTATATGAGGTACTTTGATAAAGTAGAAAAAGTTCCAGTATAAATAGATACCTGCTACTTGTCAAAAAAGAAGAAAAAAAGGGAACCTGGATGCTCCAATTATCACTTGTCAAACTCAATTACATTAAACAACAGGAAAATATAAAGGTAAGAATGTAGAAATATAGGTCATGATTGTGTGGAAGTTATGTTATTTAGGCGTATTAGAGACAACGCCGGCTGAAGGGTAAAGCAACCCAAGCAGGGGGCTTCAGGCCCCCAAATTCTGGGGGCGCCATTTTCAATTGACAATATTTTATAAATTAATTTTTTATATAAAAAATTGATTATCTTAAAGTTAAAATAAAATAAAAAACTTACAAACAGGAAAAGAAAATTTTAATTGGTTATGATATTGACCCTTGAGTTTGAATAATCTGAAGCATACACAAATATTTTTAATTTTTTGTTTAGTGGGTAAAAACTGAGATTACTAGTTGATAAAAATCTGAAAAAAATATTTACTTAGCCTTGATTAAAACATAATAGCCACTCTGTGATAGTTTAGGCTTATTTTTTAAATTATATAGCATTAAAGAAAATATTACAAGTAGAAGATAAAACTCTAATCGACATACTTGATAAGATAACAAGACTTGATTTTTTTCAATGTTATTCCTTATAGAATAAAATATACTATAACAATTGCATCGGGGAAAGACGTTTTTTCAAATTAAAATTGATAAAATCTTGTATAGGATCAACAATGTCTCGCGAGAAGCTAACTGGATTAGATGAGCAGTATTATCAGTTGAAAAAAGAATTATTAGGATAACTCGATCATAAGAAAATTATTAATAATTTTGCATCTAAAAAAGTTAGAAAAATGTACTTCAAATAAAAATATCTAATTTTTTTTAAAAAAAAAATAAAAATTAAGGCCTCTCATTAAATTTTGCTTTAGGCCACCAACAATGTTGAGCCACCCCTATTTAGAGAAAAGGTTCACTATCGGAATCAAACTCTTTTTCATCAGTAGTAGTTGGATGAAATGAAGAAGAGCAAAGTCACACCGACCCTGACCTTGTTGGAGTAATCGCCAACCCCTAAATCAAATTCACGCACGGACAAGCTTAATACATTGGTCCATGCACATCCGTACCTGCAGCATCTCCATAGATTTTTTATATGGGAGAGCGTTTTTTTGAAATTTGAACTTGGACAAGTCATATACTTCTGATTTCTCGTAGCGAATAGATGTCCTATAGCAGTTTGTCCAGGTTGATTTTCCCAACCTCACCTTAGTTCCCTGTCTTTATGTAGGATATGCATCTAGGATCAATAAGTACGGACAAAGATCTGATGGTGGTACATTCAGGAACAGAAACATACAAAAGAGCAAAGCAATTAAAAGATTTGTTTCTAGAGTTCACGACTCATCTAAAGCAACTTTATCAGAAGTTCTCTGTGGAAGAGATGATGATTTTGCAGACACAGCAACAGTTCAACCAGTCTTTTATTCATAGAGCTATGTGTGAGCCCTAGTATGTAGTGGTATATTGCTCGTGTATATTTTGGCCATTGCAACACGTACGTTCTTGACAGAGAAGTTGTTGTTTTTCTATAACATTAGAAGATTTAGGCTTTATATATTTTATATTTGTCAAAGTTGGAGTTCACTTCTTGTTCACTGAGCCTCTAAGAAAATGCCTTTTAAGCGACCTTGTTATATCCGGTATTTTTTTTTTCAAATTTTCATTACACAGATCGAGCATGAAATTCTTAGAGTGATTTGCCACTATACTATGCTGAAATGGAGATTTGAGGAGAGATAGGAACCCTAACTAATGAGGGAGAAGAGAGAAGAGCGTGAAGATGAATGTAACCGTGGAAAAATGAATACTCTGTATCTCATTATTGTACAAGCTATGTATATATACAAGGCTTTACTAACTGCGATAACCACCTCACTAACCAATCACGTGTATCATTAACTAACTAACTAACACACCAATCTACTAGCACATAAATAGACTAAACTACCCATGTATTCAAGTTACATCTTTGATCTCAACACTCCCCCTCAAGCTAGGTGGTAGAAAGACATCAAGTACACCTAGCTTGGACATCAAATACTCGTGTTGCACTCGTGGTAGACCTTTGGTTAGAATGTCTGCTAAGTGCTCCTAGCTACATATTTTGTTTGTACCAAACCATCCTGTATCTTTTCCCTTATAAAGTGAAGGTCTATTTCAATATGTTTAGTTCATTCATGAAATACTAGATTGGCAACTATTTGAATTGTTGCTTTATGTCAGTGTAGATGTTCACAGGGAGACCAACTTCTATACCAATGTCTTTGAACAGACCAAGTATCCACACCAATTCAGCTATAGTTGATGCAATGCTTCTGTACTCAGATTCTACAGAGCTCCTAGAAATGGTGCTCTGTTTCTTTGACTTCGATGATATGAGAGAATCACCATACTTGATGAAGAAGCCTGTTACTAACTTCCTAGTGATAGTTGTTAGTCTGCATCACAATATGTAGTGATAGTGTTTCTCTGTTTGCTAGACAACAGTATGCCTTGACCTAGTTGGTTCTTAACATATCTAACCACTCTTTGAGCAGCTTCCAAATGTGCTCTTTTCGGCTTCTGCATAAATTGGTTTAGTGTCTAAATACTATATGTTATATCTGGCCTTGTGACAGTTAAGTAGAGTAGTTTCCCTAGTAACTTTTTATACTAGCTGAAGTCTGTTAACACTTCATCATCAATTGCATTAGAGCTGCTAGTATGTTCATCATACTCCTTAGTGGTCAGTTTGATGTTGGCTTCAATAGGTGTTGCTGCAGGTTTTGCTTCTCCCAGTCCAAGCCTAGAAATTAGCTTTAGAGTGTACTTCCTTTGGTGCATTAGAATGCCTTGTTGTGACCTAGCAAAATCAATTCCAAGAAAGTATTTAAGATCTCCTAGGTCTTTTTTTTCATTTTGAATGTCAGTTGCAACTTGGTCTTCATCTCTACTATTAATGTCAGTTTAGGCCTAGTGATTAGCATGTCATCAACATAAACCAAGATGATTATGATGTGTTCCCCTGACCCTTTGATGAATAGGGAGTGATCATGTTGGCTTTGCATGAAGCCAAACCTCATAAGTGTCTCAAACAACTTATCATTCCACTGTCTTGGTACATGTTTGAGCCCATATAGAGATTTCAAGAGTCTGCATGCTGGTCTTGTCTCCCTCTGACTCTGAAATCCCTGGGGTAAAGTCATGTATATCTCATCATGTGGGTCCCCTTGAAGAAAAGCATTGTACTCATCCATTTGATGAATGTGCCAATGTTCAGAGGCAGCAACAACTAGGATGGTTCTAACAGTAACCATCTTAACTACTGGATTTAATGTTTCTTGGTAGTCAATACCCTCATGTTGGATGTACCCTTTGGCCACCAGCCTGGCTTTGAACCTTTCCACCTCTCCTGTAGCTTTGTACTTCACCTTATAGATCCACTTACATCTAATAGGCACGTTGCCTTCAGGTAAGGACACCACATCCCAGGTGTGATTGGATTCTAATGCAGCAATTTCAGCTTGCATAGCTTCAACCCACCTAGGATCTTGAACAGCTTGCTCAAAAGAAGTAGTCTCCTAGATTGCAGAGAATGCTGTCAAATAGGCCTGATACTTGGGAGAAATTCCATCACAGGACACATAGTTAACAATGGAATAGGGACCAGACTTTTGTCCAGGTTGTGATACAAAGTCATTCATCCATATAGGAGCCTGCCTTGTCCTCAAAGATCTCCTCAGACCAGTAGAGTTCTGAGTAGAAGGAGGAAGTGTAGAAGGCATCACATCTTCTACTAACTAGTGCAAATGAGAAGAGTCAGTAGACTCATGCCTAGCAGGAACATAAGGAAGTGAAGGCTGCTCTTCACTAGAAGTCTAGAACTGGACAAGTCGGGAGGCAAGATAATAAGAGGTATTGTGGATGTGATATCTTTGAAGGGAAATATATCTTCCCTGAAGTTGACATCCATGTTGATAAAAAAAATAATGAGAAGAGAGATCCAGCAGAATGTAGGCCTTCTGAGTATCAGAGAAGCCCATGAGAACAACTGGCTTAGCTCTGGGCATAAGTTTATATGTTTTATGAACTTGCTTGGCATAGCACAAGCAACCAAGAATTCTTAAGTGACCCAGGTTAGGTGCCCTACCATACAACATTTCAAAGGGAGAAAGACCATGAAAATAGAAGATGGCATCCTATTTATGATGTACAATGTTGCAAGCACACAATGCCCCCAATACTTGATGGCAATATTAGCTTGAAACCTTAAATCTCGTGTGACTCTCTAGGATGTGCATGTGTTTTCTCTCAGCAACTCCATTTTGCTAAGGAGTATAAGCACATATACTTTAATGAATAATACCATACTTCTGAAACAATATGGTACAGTTAGAGTTAACAAACTCAGAGCCATTGCCTGACCCGACTACTTTCATAATTTTGTTAAACTGAATTTGAATGAACACAATAAGCTGAGTAAGAACCACACACACACATCAGATTTGAGCTTCAGTAGGAATAACCAAGTCATCGTAGTAAAGTCATTGACCTCTGTCAAAAAATACTTATTGCCATCAAAAGTTGCACAGTTATATAGACCCCAAAAACATCAAGATGTATTAGATCAAAGGCAGCAACAATCATAATACAACTAGAAGCGAATGGCAACCTAGTTTGCCTAGCACAAGGGTGATAACTAGGGATTCTAGTTCATTTTACACTCTTTTTTACTTGAGTTTTGATTAAAAATGTATACAAATAGTTCCAAAGGCTTACATGTTGTACTTGTTTGCAGGATTTGGTCAAAAAAGTGACAAGTAGTCAAAATCAGCTCAAAAAGGAGTGAAAGATGCACAAGTACAAAAAACAAGTCAAGGCAGTGTTGCAACATAAAATCAGTTGCAGCCGCAACAGACCCACCGCGGTCGCAGACCATTTAGTGCGGTCCCCAGTGTAGGAGTTCAGAGAGGTGCACTTTTGGAGCTTCAAGAAGTGCGATCCGCGGAGGATTTCTCGCGGCCGCAATCCATTTTATGCGGTCCGTGGAGAGGGGTTTCAGAGAGTTGGGAGTTTGGATGATTGAAGCCAGCGCAGTTCGCATAGCATTTTGTGCGGACTGCAGTGAAGCCACCGCGGCCGCAGAGCATTTTATGTGACCCGCGGTGGCCAGATTCAGAGAGTGATAAGTCAAGCCAAAAAGCCTCATCGCGGCCGCGGTGCATTTTCCGCGGTCCGCAATACCTCCATCAGGGGTATTTTTGTCTAGAAAATTTGGCTTAGTATAAATACTTTCTTTTCACATTTTTAGTGTATCTTTTTTAATCTGTTAGAGTCCATAGCACGTGAACGGCTGCTTTGTTCCATTTTGAGTAATTTGTAGTTAGATTAACATTGAATCTTCAATCTCTTAGTTTGTAATCATAATTTATGGGTTATTCTTCATCTAATTTTTTATTTTCTTTCATTATTATGAGTATCTAGATCCATTAGCTAGGGTTGTGGCTCAACCCTAGTGTCGGTATTTGATGGATTTTTTGAATTAAGGCTTAGATGTTTATGGATAATTGATATTTGGACTGATTTGTATTTTTCATGTTGAATTAGTGATTGTAAACAATTTGTACCTATTTGACTTGGGTTCTTCTTGAGAAAGAGAGCTTGAGTCTAGAAAAAAATCAGTCCAACAAGGAATTGGGGTGTATTCAAGAGATTGATAGCCCTAATTAAAGGGTTAAACCTAGAGATTGTAATACCCGACTTGAGCATATATTGCTTGCACAATTTTGACACCCAATTGGTCTTGAGAAAGTCAATTAGGAAAAGTTCACTCAAGCTACCGAGAGGTATAGAGTGAGTAGTTTCGTGCATTGGCTATATCGCAGTACCCAACATAATACATTTGCTTTAGGCTTTAGAACCCGTCAAGTATCCACCTAGGAGAAAGTCAGTTCCCTAGTGCCTCTTTAACTATTTAGAAAACCTTACAAGCAATCACTCTTCGTTTAATTTAGCATACTATTAGCATAAAAATTAGAAGTAACAAAACAAACAAATATAACTGGAAGTGTAATTAAGAGTACTACGCACAACTAGTTTAAATAGGAATCCAATTCCCAATTCTAGCTCCATGTGGATTCGATCCCTACCATCTCGGCTAAAAGCTGCATCGACCGCTCTCGCCACTTTTTAGTGGTGTAGGGTTGGCACAGATCACTTTTTGGAGTCGTTGCCGGGGAGCTAACGGTTTTGGCTATCTATCTAAATAGTTTTGTGTATTATTTTTCTTTCCTTCTATGTTACTAATTTGTGTGTGTCGCAAACTCAGGTACAAAATGGCGGCAAACAACGCACCTCTTGAAGACCTTCCACCGGGGGAGAAGATAGATGACAATATTGATGATGAGGTTCCTATAGTACCTCAAGGACAAAGGAGAGGCTGTCATGCCAATGATAATATTCCAGACCCTCCCCCGCCACCTCTAAGAGAAAGAAGTTAATGACTCAAAAAGTCAAGAGAATGTGTGCCAAAATGAAGTAAATGAAGTGTTTAAGGGAAGATGGAACCTACTTAGACCAAATATTTTCTATCCTTAACCAATAGCCTTCAATATATCTCCACAAAAATCCTATATGATCTTGAATTG